AGGAGGAGAAGAAGAAGAAGAAGAAGAAGAAGAAGAAGAAGAAGAAGAAGAAGAAGAAGAAGAAGAAGAAGAAGAAGAAGAAGAAAAAGAAGGAAGAAAGGGATAGAGGCGGTACACATCACCTCATGGCAGCAGAGAGGAAGGGAGAGAGAGAGAGAAGGGGGAGGGGTTCTCTCTTAAAGAGGACTTTACATGAGATGACATTGTCAGGACACTGGGTGGGTCACCAGGGGGTTGGTCTGAATGCTAACAACTAGGAAAGGGAGAAGTTATGTACAGTATTTAAAGAAACAATACCAAAGTCAGCCCAAAGAATCACTGCTAGGGTCAGGCAGAAGTTGCCAAACCCATATCTAATTACAGAGATGCCAGAATGTGGAGCTGCCAAGTGAGGATCTAAATAACTAAAGTTCCCAAGTGGGAAAGTCAAGGCAGCAATGGTCTGAAGGGGACAGAATTGGGAGGTCATCACCTTGGTAAGTCTCCTAGGCAGGGTTGTGATGTATGACAAAGTGACAGGTCAATGTTGTCACTGTGTTAGTGGCCCCTTCAATTATATGTTTTAAGTAAGAGGGTGCATTATTCATTAATCTGGTACAATTGATAAGCTCACATGCCTAGTTTTTCTGATATTTTCTTGATAAATACATATGTCCATGTACCCCTAATTTAATTTGATAAATTCACAGGTGGTCATTTTTTATGGCAACAAACCAGTGACTTATCAGTTTGTATCTCATGGTTATTATAAATAGACAGTGATTTTCTTCTTGCACAAATAAGATTCACAGTTATTCTACTTGAGCATTTTACTTAAATGGAATAACTTTAAAATGGACAGTCCAATGGCCACCGCTCCAAACAGCAGAGTGACTTGGAAAAGAGGATTGTCTTCTCTCCATAGGCATAATTTTGTTTTAGAAACAAAGAACTTACTTCAATCCAAGTGCTACAGCTGGAGAGAAATTTTTCTCTCTGGGTCAAATGAACTTGAATCTCACCCATATCCAATTTAGATACTTTGAGGAAACACTGAGCTTGAATTTTAAAGTTGATGCTGTAAATAATTAAAGTTTGAAGAGCTATTGAGATAGAATAAACACATCATGTAGATGGAAAAGACAAGAATTCCAGGTGCCCTGGAGAAATTCCATAGTTTGAATGTTACGTAACATCCAAAATTTGTGTTGAAACTTAATCCTAAGTGTGACAGTGTTGTGAGGTAAGATGTTTAGAAGGTGAACAGACCATGAGGACTGAGCCTTTGAAGATGACATTAGCAGTTTATCAAAGGACTAGGAGGGATAGGTCAGCCTTTTCACCATTTTGCTGTGTGAGAGCACAGCCTTTTCCTTTCTGATCTTTGGCCTTTCCCAGGTGCATACAAGGCATCATTCCAGAAGCAGGGCGCAGTCCTCACCAGGCACCAAACTGCAGGCATTTTGATCATGAGCTTCATGCCTCCAAAACAGTAAGAAATAACTTTGTCTTTCACCAGTTCCCCAGCACTGTCCCTCTGCCTTTCAGGGGATAACAGTCTGATTTGTAAAGAGTGTGAAGAATGCGATGATAGCTCTAACACTGGAAAAGGGTGGAGCCAGAGAAACACTCTATTCCGTTTCCACCATCTGAGGTCTATTGAATGCTGGTTGGGCTTCATACCTGTAAAATCCTGAGAACCTGACAGATGAGATAACAAGATATGTCCCACAAAGCACTTACCTGAGGGTTGAACAAGATCATTTATACAAGGCTCAGACACAATTTCTGAACCATAGAAGACACTGTCACTTATTCAAGCCAGAAGACTTATGCTCATCTTTAAAAATCGCCTGTTCTTTTTAAAGCAATTTTCACTGATTATGGGCTTCTAATACTTGTTGCCTTTCTGTGTTTAAATGAAATAACTCCTTAGAAGGAAAGTGAAAAAAAAGTGAAGAATATAAGTTATACTTGGTTACTCAAGATTTTCCAATTGTCCTCAAATGGTCACTCCATCTCCTTCTTATATGTCTCATTATAAACATACCTGAAGAAGTCTCTTTTGATTGTGCCATGCTGACATAGAAATATACAAATCAATAGTACAAAATAGTCCAGAAAAGATCACAGTACAGTGGAGCATTTGATACATAGTAAAGGAGACATTACCCATCAATAAGAAAAGGAAAGGCATTTAAAAGTGATAGTGGGACCCATGAATAGCAATTTAAAGGAAAAATCAATTTTAGGCCTTTACTTCAGTTTATGCAGAGAAATCAATTCCAGATGAGTTATATAACTAAATACTTTAAAATACTCAAGCATTAGAAAAACTAGGAAAAAGGAGAAATGAATAAGAATTTAATCTCCAGGAGAGTAAGGGCTTCCCAAACTTAGTTCAAGCAATAAAACTGAATACAGAGATCAACAGATTCAATAACTCACAATTTTACTTTAAAAATGTGAACAGGAACACATGTAAAACCTAAAACCAGACTTGACATAGTGGCTTTCTGTAAGTGGCTTATATCCATCAACATAAAAGCACAGTGAGACCTAGGTCAATAAATGAACAAAGACACATTAAAGTCACAGAGAACCTGATCTGACAGACAAGCATGTGGGACAGGCTGAGGCTCACTAGCAATGGGAGAATGGGAACATTAAAAAAATAACAAATTCATAAAATTTAGGGGTGTGTGTGTGTGTGCATGTGTGCATGTGTACATGTGTACATGTGTACATGTGTACATGTGTGCATGCTGCTTCCTTTAGATTCCCTGGAGTTATAGTCAGCTATGATCCACCCACCCTGGGTGCCATGAACAGAACTTCATTCCCCCACAAGAGCAGCAAAAGCTCTTACTTCTGAGCTTGCTCTCTCTCTCTCTCTCTCTCTCTCTCTCTCTCTCTCTCTCTCTCTCTCTTTTAAAGAAAGAATTTCTCTGTGTAGTTTTGGTGCCTATCCTGGATCTTGCTCTGTAGAGCAGGCTGACCTCGACTCATAGAGATCCGCCTGGCTCTGCCTCCCCAGTCCTGGGATTAAAGGTGTGCACCACTGCTGCCTGGCTCTGAGCCATCTCTTTAACTCCACAAAATAATTAATTTTAAGACAACACAATTAGCAATTTTTTGTTTTAAAATATGAACATTCAGGGATTGAGAAATGGCTCAGTGGTTAAGAGAAAGTACTGCTCTTCCAGAAGACCAGGATTTGGTTCCCAGCACCCACACCAGACAGCTCACATTTGCCTATAACTCTAGTCCAGGGAGATCCACCTCCCCTGTTCTCAGGCACCTGCACACACATCCACATACTTCCCAACACACATATACACATGGTCAAAAACAAATTTTATAAATATTATTAATACTATGAAAGGTAGAAAACATCACACCTACCTATTACATGAACTAGCATGTATCTATACGAGCAAAGCTTTTACACAATATTTTAATAAATTATACTATGACACTTGAAAATATTTCATGTCATTTTAGGCTACATTTCCAATTTACCAAATCTAAGATGAAAATCTTTTTAAGAGTTCAGGGTGAAGAAGAAGCAAGTAATGAAAGACTTAGGACTCACTCTAACATCATTCAAAATAAGAACTATAAATGACATAAGAAAAATAAATTGAAGTCTTTATGATATGTTCATCCCTGTTTCATATTATTAGCAAATAAATATATTGTCAAGCGTTGCTGAAGGAAATGAATGATGAATTCAAATAAGAGTAATTTGAGCCAGGCAGTGGTGATGCACACCTTTAATCCCAGCACTCGGGAGGCAGAGCCAGGCGGATCTCTGTGAGTTCGAGGTCAGCCTGGGCTATGGAGTGAGTTCCAAGAAAGGCTCCAAAGCTACACAGAGAAACCCTGTCTCAAAAAACTAAAAAAAAAATAATAATAATTTGATAGATGTTTAAAGGAAACACTATCATGGTTTGCATGAGAAGTGTTCCCAGATGGCTCATGTGTTGGAGCCTAGGTTCCTAGCTGGTGGATGTTTCTGTCATATGGACTCAACAGATTTCTCTATTGATGCATTCAAGATTTGGTAATATTGTTAGAAAGTAATATAAACTAGGGGGTAGAGTCTTGTTGGAGGAATTAACTCACTGGAAGCAGTCTTTCAAGAATATATCAGTCCCCTGGCCTCTTCATGTCTCATTCTTTATGCTTTCTGGCCACCATGAAGTGATAAACCTCTCAAGTCATGTTTCCACCATGCCATGATGTTCTGTGCCTAGGGCCTATAGCAATGCAGGAGCCAACATAAGCTGTGACCTCTGAACCTGTGAGCAAGAGTAAATCCTTTTGCCTCATTAGTTGTTTTTCTTGGTTATTTTGTTACAGTGACATGGAATTTGGGGCCAGCCCAGGATACAAGGGGACCTGTGTCAAAATCAACCCAAAACAGCATAAAAATAAAGCTGGTGAAATATCTCAATGGATGCTTGCTGCCAAGTCTGAAGACCTGAGTTCAATATCTAGGTTCCTTATGGTAAGAGAGAAGTAGAACACACTTATATTCACACAATACCTAAATAAACAAATAAATAAGTAAATAACAAATGAAACTTAAAGTTTCACTTTCTTTACTATGGAATGAGTGCTGTGGTCAAATAAAAATGGGTGTTAGATGTCATGGTAAGAACAAGTAATGTTTTTAACTTTCTTTGATTTTGTAACACAAATGTTGCTATTACCAAAGAAGTTTGAACAGGGAAGGCAAATCTATACTTGGAATGTGGGTCTATCAATGGTTAGAACAAAGAATTATCCTATTCGGGAAGTATGGGATGCAAGGACCAAGGGCATCAGTGTCTTAACAGATAGCCTTCTATTTACCCCTGTTTTGATGACATTTCTGGAGCTTAGAGTTAGCTTGGCAAGTTATATGTGCAGCATTAGCTCAGCCAGGCTAGTACTGATGAAGGAAAATCCATGATGCTGAGACCACAAAGAACCTCTGCTGTCATACCTGTTTTATTTATGGGCCCCTTGGGCAAACCACAAAGCATCCAGGCAAAGGGACCAACTAACATTCACAGATATTCTGATATGAATGCTTAATAGAAGCTCTCTGTGTAATGAATGCCCTCAAGTAATGATTTATATAGAATAGAAATGTATTCACTCTCTTTATCCATTGAGGAGCACATATAGTACAGAATATTTTGTCCCTAATTTTCAAATCTTCTTCATCCAATAAAGTGTGCACTGCTCCTGAGTCAGTGTAGGCCTGTAGCTCAGATCATCTTGCCTTCCACATGAGTTGGATACCTAGACAGTGTTTAAGTTTCTACTTACTGGAATGTTTTCCTTTATTGATCTGTTGAGGTAAAGGTACTTTTCATCAAGCCTAAACACCCTAGATCCCACATGGTAGAAAGAAAAAAACAACACTTACAAGCTGTCCATTGACACTCATTTGTGCACTGTGGCATATGCACACTCATATATATACATGAACATTAAATAAATAAATTAAATTAATGTAAAATTTTAAGAAAAAGAAAGGCTGACACTATTCATGCTCAGTAGATTGCCTCATGCCCATGTACATGTAGGCAGCACTAAATAGACCCAGTGGGTGTTATTTTTTTAAAAGATAGAATACTTGAAGTTGAGAGGAGAAGGTGGTAAAGGAAACAGGGAAGAAATTAGAAGGGGCAGAATGGAGAATATATTTGATCCAAACACAATATATACATATATGAATATTAACTAAAATAAATTTTAAAAAGGGATGACAAGCACCAGCCATCAATTTCCACTTTATACTCTCATACTTTACAGATGCATCATTAAACCAAGTCATGGAGGAGCCCTTGTGAAGTCAAAGATGGAAGCTGAAAGAGAAGCAGCCGAGCTGGAAAGGAAACTCCATGTCACCAGTGCCACCTGCGGTGAAGTTGACTTCTCTTTTCCAGAAAAGTTGAGACCCACTCTCATGCATCCTATTTATTCTATAATGTAATGCTGCTACAAAAGCCAATGTAATACTAAGTATGTCAAATAACAACAAGGTCATGAAGGATGGCTTAAGTCTCATGGTCACTTAGTGTCTCATAGCTAGACATCCAGTCCCTAACGGTGTCCAGTGATGCTTTGGAGAATAGTTGTTGTAGAAGCAAGATTCATTACAAACCCCAGGTATGAGGCTCCTTTCTGGCTTGCCAGAGGATCCACACTAGGCAATTCCTATAGATGGCTACACCAGCAATGGGGCTACGGCATCTCAAACTTCTCTAACACTGCACTAGAAATCCAGCCTTTTTACACGTCTTAGTTTGTTCTGAGACTCATTCAAAACAGTTATCATTATGAGATACTCAATAAATAGGTCATAGGAGCATGTTCAATATGAGGTACATTGCCTGACAAATACAAAAAGACCCTCAGAATGCTGCTACATGTGTACCTTTCTTTTGGGGGGATGATGTAAAAGACAGCAACCTGCTGATTTCAGTGACACACTGTTTAGAAGTACAAGGCCACCAGACCCTAGACATTCTGTCATTGCACTGGGCATATGAAATTTAACAGCATTTATCTTCTCTTCTAACTCTGACATGATATATTTATTAAGATATGTGAAGTGTTTGCCAAACATAGAAAATAGTACAATGTTATAAATGATGCTGATGGGGATGGTATGTCATGATGATGACCCCTCCAGATAAGCACAACAAACATTAAGAAATCCTACTACTACAGGAGAGAGAAAGGAATACTTACAGTAACAGGAAAGGACAAAGTCACACAGAGAAAAGTTCCATGAGGGAAACTTGCTATTCAGCTGGAGACTACATTGAACCTCTAAAAGGCAACAGGGATAGAAAAACAACCCACTTGCAGTCTCTCCCCTCTGATACCCTGCTGGGACTCTCCATTAGCCAAATGCCATCTGGAAAGCAGAGGGAAGAAAAAATGATGTATCCACATGCAGACTCCCAGGATACAAAGCAGGCAAAGAAAATGATAAAGACAAAGATGTCCAGTGGTAGGGGGAGAAACAAAGTATAGACTTTCTCTGTGGTGACTGAGATTAGTAACAGGTAAGGGGGTAAGTGGAACAAATAAAACAGTGATGTTATTTTATAAACATTTTCATTACCTTCATAAACTCATTTCTAAAATTATGCTTTAAACTTGATGGCAGAATCTTTTGCAATAAGCAGTACGACTTTTACATAAAACTTTCCACCCCCAACTACACCAGAATTATAGTTTGCAAACAAGTATTTTATTTTTAAAATCATAAGACATATAAAACAGCAAATTACACACTTTTCAAGGGCATAAAGATAAAGCAACTCTTTATTGAAGCTGACAATATTCTGAATCATGAAGCAAGTGTTAACAAACCATCAATAGGCTGGGCTCATATAAGCTATGTTCTCTGACCACAGTGGAAATGAGATAAGAATTAGTATTAATAAGATGACTAGAAAATTCCAAAATGATTAGAAACTAAGCAGTGTGCTTCTACATAACCCTTCAGTGGAGAAAGAAATCACAATGAAAATTAGAAAGTATTTTGAACTGAATGATAATGAAAATGATTTCCATATTGAGAGAGAATCTTATCATCTTAGATGCATTGGTTAGAGTAGCAAGACAAGACATAAAAAATGATCCACACATTCTTCTTCAATGACTAGACAAAGAACACAGTTAAATCTAAGTAATTGTAAAGAAGAAATAATGAATGACAGAATTTTACAAAATGAAGAGTAAACATATAAGAAAGGTTATTAGAAATGAGTCTAGGGTTCATTCTTAGAAATTCTAATTTTAAAAGATTCCTTACAGATGCTAATGAAGAGAAAGAAAAGAGAAAACTCAAAAATGATCAGTACAGGAGTAGAAAAGTAGAACTGAGACTTAGATGACCAGCCAATAATAATACTTGTTATAGTGTAGATCAAAACAGATTAAGAATGGATTTGTGGCAGGCTGGGAAGGTAACTCCAACAGAAAATCACAGTCTCCTGCTAAATTTTCAGATTTAAGGCAGTGTTCTCTTCTAGAACCATTCACTAAGTAAAGTGGCCAGGATCCCAGGGCATGTCCTCTAAAGACCACAACAAATATGTACTGCAATAATCCTGGTCTCTCACAGAATAACCTATTGCATCTGCTTCAGTGACAGCACCCTGAAGGAAAAGCCCTTTAGTTTGATATCACTTGTCACCTTCTGAACTTATCTTGAAAGCCAATTGCTATGATGGTTTTAGGAGTGGAGCCTCTGAGAGGTGATTAAATCATGTAACAGTTAAAGTATTTTGGATGGGACTGAGATCACACACTTAGTTACTTCAAGAGCAGTGTTGTTTTAAGGTCAGGCTGCTTCTTTTGTGTTTTCTCTTCCACTTTCTATGTGCCCTTCGACTTTCTACCACAAGCTGAAATAGCACAAGACCTTCACCAGGAACTGAGAAGAAATGGTACCATGCTTTTGGACTTCCCAAACTCCAGGATCTTATTAATACATGCTTTATGAATTATCAAGTCTCAAATATTCTATTGTAGGAACAAAAAAATAAATCACAAAAATGGAAATGCCTATACATTTCAAGCTCTGCTGGGTACAGCTATAGAACTGAGCCATCCTTGTGCCCCTTCTAATAAAATGGAGCTATCTGAATGCCAGGCAATAAATAGAATCCTGGACCAAACCCAACTTTGTGGCTACACTGGGTCAGGACAGTCACCAAATGGTCATTGTAGCTGGAGAGCTTCTCTCCAGGTCCCACCAAGTCCCTGCAGTCCCACAACCCACGTATAAAATAAACACACAGACGCTTATATTATTTAAACTATTTGGCCTAATGGCTCAGGCTTCTTGCTAACTGTTCTTATATCTTAAAATTAACCCATTTCTATAAATCTATATCTTGCCATGTGGTTCATGGCTTACCAGCATCTTCACATGCTGCTTGTCATGGTGGCTGCTGGCAGTGTCTCGCTCTCTGCCTTCCTGTTCCCTCAGTTCTCCTCTCTGTTAGTCCCACCTGTACTTCCTGCCTGGCCACTGGCCAATTGGTGTTTATTTATACAGAGTGATATCCACAGTAGCTCATGCCTTGAATGCACAGTTGGAACAGGTGGCTGTCAGTTGGAGCAACCCCCAAATTGAGTTGCTGACTGATAAAGCAAGAGATATTACAGTGGGGAGAAAAATGTAAGCCTCTGAAAGTACCCTAATAATGCAAGATTATAAAGAAAATTAGGACCATGACCTGGAACAGATGTCAGAGACCAGTGGCATTTTCAAAGATCTAGAGGATGCAGAGGGGAGGGGCTCTGTCATAACTGTTTAATTTGCCTCTGGCAGCAAACAGATGGAGCCTGGGGAATGGCTGTGGACTTCCAAACCTTAGGCAGGTTTTAGTAAGCCTAATTATAGTTTCAAGGCATGCTGCTTTTGCTGGAGTAGATGAATGAAGACATAAGCACATGTTCAGTAGCCATGGTGCTCTTTTCTAAACCACTAGGGAAATAGCAACAGAGCCAGCATGCTTTACATTGACCAGCAATCACATTTACTCAGGTTTTCCTTTAGGGCTATGTTAACTTTTCCACTCTCTGCCATAATGTAATTGGAAGTGATCTGAGCCACCCAGAAACTGCCAGACTATTAGGTTCAGCTATTAGGTCAGGCATTCTGACACTCAGGCAAGATGAGTGAGAGACAGTCAACATGTCAGAGGATTTAATAAGACCCCTGTGACTCTGAAAGTCAAGGAAAAAGAATCCTAAGAAAGACATAGGTACTTGATACTTCAATAATTGTATTGGGGGGGTCCAGGAGGATATGTTGGTACCTGTTCCAAAGTAAAAGATTAAAAAAAAAAACAAATGTGTGCATCTTGTATCCCTTATTTCAAAGAAGGAATGGTTTCTGCTGGACTTCTTCACATGCTGGAAGCAATACATTTTAGATTTTGAAACAGTAAGCCCAACCATCTGAAACCAGTGCTGTCCTACCAGGTCAGAAGGTCATGGGCAATCAAAACAACATGGGAATGGTACATTGAGGACTAATCAGCAGCAGACCAGAAAGGATGAGGAAATTATGTAACCAAGTATCCCAGACCCTCATGTCACTCACTATACCTTGACCATGGCCTTACATAGTTGGCCATAGGAGGGAACCTTATGCTACCAACAGAGAGAATAGAGAAGAGAGCCTGAGCTCTGGTTCCATATGGGCTAATGTTATGTAAAAGCCCCAAATGGCGTAAGCTGCTTTGCAGTCTTACTCAGGAGATGGCCTTGAAAGTCAATGGTAGAGGCGAATTTTTGAAATGAATATAGTTTTGGGTGGTATGTCAGGGCATCATTCCCTTGTATGGAAGGAGAACTAAATGGCTTAAGGACAGGGGCCAGAGGTAATGGATTTATTTGCTTATCAGGGGTCTAAAAGGAAGATGATTGAAAGATCAGAGACAGGAGGTTATCTTTAGAAACACAGGTTGAGTTGTAAGTCATTAGATACAAAGTAATACTCCATAGAGAGCATCTACCATGACTAACAACATGGTAGAAAAGTGACTCATCTGCTGATTCCAACCACTTTGTTAGGGTAGCCCCCTAAATGGATAAGTGACCAGAGTGACAAAACTGGGGTTATACCTGGACCTAACCTTTGAATGTTCACTTATCAAGGATGACCTAGGTACTGTTGTTGCTTAAAGTCCAGCTTGCATCAACCAATGTTGAGCTCCCAGTAGGCATCTCTTTCTAGAAAAGAACAATGGGGCATCTGTATGGAAAGTGACTAAACTGAGTCCCATTTATCATCAATTCTAGTAGTAGAAAATGTTTATGTTGTCCATGAATTAAATTTTTCAAAATTAGGGTTTTGACATCCAAGAGGTATATAGCTTCAGAAGTTATATGTCCTCCTTAGTACTATGGAATCCTTATTCCAAAAGCCAGAAATAAAAAGAAACTATCCTGCCAATGCTAATTAATTTTGATTAGTAGGTAAAGATGAGATTTTGCTAATGTGGGGGGAGAAATATACGTGGGGTTTTTTATGCCTTTGGTGACACAGTTGTCTTACCCCAATATGTAACTCTGAAAGAACTGCAGTAATTCTAGCTTGAGAAGGAGGTTGTCTCAAACTCATCAGTGATGAAGGTTTACATCATACTTCTGGCAGAAACAGCTGAAAGCAGGAAAAAAAATTACAGTGTATGGTAAAGTAGGGAGGACATGACATCAGAAGTTATTTTGAAACCCACCATATGAGCAGAATTTAGATAATCCTACTATCTCCCAATTCTAAGTTTCTTCAGAGAAGGAAGAACAGAGTTCTGGATGAGCCATTCCCTGGACATATATGTAGATATGGGCTCATGCACTCAAAAAGTGGGTTGTGGTTGACCCAAAGACTCCTTTTCCTGTCTTCAAAAATAAATCACAGCCTGTGGTCTGCCTTCAGGGTGAAACATCCTTCACAGGCTCATGGGTTTGAGCACACTCAGCCAGTAGTGCAGTTTTGCAAGGCTGTGCAACCATTAAAAGGTAAAGCTTAGACAGGCCACGCAGCAGAGACAAGCAGACGCAAGTAGGTCCACAGCGGCAGCCCGCAGAGGTAGACGGGCCCGGTGGCAGTGGCTGAGATGGACATACAGGCCCAGCGGCAGCCGGCAGAGACATACAGGCCCGTTGGCGGCCCGCAGAGGCAGACAGACCCAGAGGCAGCTGACAGGGACATACAGGCCCGGCGGCGGAGACAAGCAGATGCAGGTAGGCCTGTGGCAGCAGACCACAGAGGTAGACAGGCCCAGGGATGGAGACAAGCAGACACAGCTTGGAACAGGGAAGTCCCTAACCCCAACATCTGGGGAAGAAGCTATCTCTGTGGGTCAGAACCAGAACGAATCTGAACACTCCGTCTGAGGAAAACCCAGGGTCCAAATGCTGATCCTGTGAAACCCAACAACTTGGAGGTGTTGGTGAGA